TTTCATTTTTTTTTCTCTCTATGTTCCTTTTTGTACCTTTTTTTTTTTTTTTTTTTTTTTTTTTTTTTTCTTTGCTATGTATAAGTCTTTACAGCAAAGCCAGGAAAGAATGTGGAAACAGCTGAAAAGTAAGTTGCTCTTCTACTTAGGTCTAAAGTCATAATTTCTCTGCGTACTTTGGAAAAGCTGCTTTCCAAATATGAGCTTCACAGAGTTATTGTGGCCTTGTATTTGCATTCTGTGCCTCATCACTAGGAGCAGCTGAACTAGTTTAAATTCTCAAAAGCAATGAGAAATTCACTAGAGACAATAAATCATAGACATCATGAACTTCTGACTGGTGTGAAGTCATTCAGAAATATATTTCCCACCAGATCTCTGCAGTCTGTGGTATTCCCATCAGGTGATTAATCCTCTGTCAGGGTGCAAAAGGAGACAAGGAAATACAGCAGATAAGGAATACAACATTGCTTATGCTTCCAGACTCTTTGGGTGATAGAAATGARCTGAAATCTGTTGCAATGCCTTGCATTGCACATCTTTTAAAAATTCTAAATTATGACTGAAGTGATAAAGTGTTCTGAAGTATAGATGTGTGAAAGCATGTAGGCGTTTGTAKGTCTAAAGAATAAAAATTAAGACCACTGCATTAGTTTTTCTGACTAGCTTAAAATACATATTTTTTGATAGTTCTAAGATTTTTCAGTTTTTATTTTTTTCCCTGTGGGCTGGGAAAGCAGTCCCTGTTGTGTAAGAGGAACTTACAATATTTGAAATTGTCTGCTAYAGTGATTATTGTCACTATTGGCCTCTGAGCATGCTTGCTCTCACAGGAAAATTTGGCAGCGTTGGATGTTACCAGATGCTCAAAGATTATGAGTAAAAGTGGAGAGGAGCACAGGTGTATAAACCCCRGAGAAAGAACAACTCAATGAATAGGATTTGTGATTAAGTACAAGAAAGAAGAGTGGGTTGGTGGTTGGGTGAAGGATGCAGCTTTTCTATTGCAGAGCTTGAAGAAATTTTGACTGAAATAAGGGATGTGAAAAAGAAGTATGGATCCCCTAAACACACTTTCCCTGAACAACTCTAAATKTTGTGGTGATTCCTGTTTGACCTGACTGGCACTGTCTGAATGGGAAGGGGATGGGAATGATGTTTGGGGCTGTTGATAAGGATGCTGATTGAAATACTGCATGCCTCAAAGAAGCAAGGAATAGAAGGCAACTAGCTTTTGAGTTGAGTCCTTATTCCTTCTTGAATGATTAAAAGGAAGAGAGTGCCATGTAATCAGAACTGAAATTTTATTAAAGGCATGGAACAGATTGTGTGGCTCTCATTTACACCTGCACAGATTTGGATTTGGTCCAYGAAGCCTAACTACACACTGGTGGAACTGAGCCTGGTGTCTTATGCGCAGTCCCTGAGTCTGGCAGCCGTGGCGGGTGAGCTGCTCTCAGGAAATGGGGCATGTGTTTCTGTCCTCAGATCTGTGTGCTAAGTGCTGGGCCTGGCCTGACAGATGTTAAAGTGCCTCTGAGTAAGCGGGAAATTATATACAAAAGTTTCCTATTACGGCTGGAATAAACAATTTCTTAACTTTTGTGTATGCTTGTCTTTCAGAGAGGCACAGTGCTCTCAGTCTCTAAGGCTGCTGATTAATTGCYACAGTTCCTCTGGATCCCAGCGCCTCTGGAACCTGTGAGAAACTCCTTTTCATACTACTACATTGACTTCTCAAGAAAAGTTTAAGTGCTTCATAAGCATAAATTAATTCAGCCAAACAGCATTTCTGTGATGTGGGAAAACCTGTGATGCCTACCTGACACCACTTACTTGTCTTGCTTAATATTACAAACTGAATCAGTGATGTAGATAAGAACCATACTCGGGATCCCTATTTCTGACTTCGTTGCTTCACACAGTGAATGCAGACATGGCAAACTCGCAATACTCAACAGAACAAGTGGCTGAATTGTGACTGGTGCATCTTTGCATCATAGTGCAAAAACAATTCCTTTCATGAATTCCTCCTCTCGCTTCAAAAACTAGCTCTAGTGAAAGGAAAATGCTCACTCTTACAAATGTGGCACAAAACTTTTTCTGCTCTTTATCTTTTACCCCCCTAAAACTGAGTGGCTTTATTTAAGATTCACAGTCCAATTTCTGACCTAGGTGGCTGAGTTAACGGACTGGCCTTTAGATTTGGTTCCCTCTGGAGTCACCAGACAGGTGTGTATTTAGGAGGTTCCTCTGGAGGATGATTCAGAACAAAATTCCAAGTCAGGTGGTCAGATTTGAGCTGATGCCTAAAGCCTTAACAAACTCTTGTTCCTGATTGCAATGGGTGGAGCTGGGATTCATCTGAGAACACAGTATAAAAGAAGTGAAATATGTCTGACAGAGAAAAGACCAAGAGGTGATTATGCTTGTACCATGTTTGTGCATCTATGAGGGCTCTAAGCAACAGGAATAAATGTACAGTGGAGACATCTRTGTTACAGGCTTGTCACAGTACTGAGCACAACTCAGAAACTATACATTAGCTTTTGATGGCTGATTAAAATTTCCAGTTTTGCATTAATAATGGGACAACCTGTTGTCATTTGCCTTCTCCCTTACATAAAACCTTCTGCCAGACATTAATTTTCCAGTCGGGGAGGCTAAATGCATGTGAACATTATCTGAGGGATCTTGAATATCTTTTCCAAAGACAAGACAATGACACTTCTCCGTGCAAGTTCAAACATGACTCTCCCATGTTGCAAAGAACTGTCAAATTGAATAACAGGTACAGTGAAAGCACTTCTTTCCCAAACTATTCAAATGAGCAGCAGCTTAAATAAACAGAACCTGGCTAAAGGTTACATGAAAGATTTGTCATAGCAAGAAGTAATATTTGAATGATAATATCTCTTAGTTTATTCATTATTTAAAGTTACTCTTTTAAATAGACCTAGAGCAGGTTCCCAGGTAACCCCTGMGATAAAGTTATCAGTCTCTGTCTCTCATCTTCACTACATCCTGCCATAAATAATGCCTTTGCACATGGTATCTCCTACCAGTGGTGATTGCAGTAACTCTTTGGCTCCCAGCAGAAGTAGTTGGGGGTGTGGTTAAGCCAGGATGCAGCGAACATGATTCATACAAAAAACCTCAGACCTTGGACTGGTTGTAAGGGATTCCCACGTTTATTATGTGGGAAAGTGTTGAACATATTGTATAAATTATACAATGGAGCTGAAAGATTGGGATTTCCCTGTGTTAGTCAGTTGGTTACTACACCAGATTTAGACTGTCATTAAAGAAGAAAATAAGAATCTTTCTTATTATAGACAGCAAGACAATATTCAAGATACTTTTTAATTAAGAGAATCCCAGAGAAATTAGAAAGTGATGCAGAAATTGGAGCCACAACTGATTTGCTTTTTGCAAATAAGCACAACCTTTACAATGAAATGGCTTTTTTTTTTTTTTTTTTTTTTCTTTTGAAAGCAGTCTCTCTAACAATTCAGTTATACTGACAGAAGACATGACCTTTCTATGGTATTCAGGGCATTTGCAATGTCTGATTTTACTTTAGTCATCTGTTATGGTGCAGTTTGGAGGAACCCAGGTTCCTCAAACTGCCAGTGTACAGRAGGCAGGCATGATTCAGAGCAGCCAGGCTAAATGCCTGAAGGAATTTGAAGGAGATGGTGTGAATACCACCTGTGCTTCTACTCTGAACTTTATTTTTCAGGAGTTTGTAGCTTTACTGTAAAACTTCTCTTGGAGCTGAAACTTTGCACACATGAAGTCAGACTTGTAACAGCCACCAATTTGTAACAGCTGAGGATCTGGCCCAGGATCTGTAACTTTGTTTTTAATAGCTGTTTGGAAGAGATTATTCTACAACTTGTTCTAATATGTACATTCCCAGTAGACTGCTCAGGTAATTACTTGGGCTGTAGTTCAAATATTCCACAGTTTGAAATATACTTGTGGAAAAATCTATTTTTCTGTGTACAGAGGTATAGAACAGTCACTTCTTTGGCACGTGTAGCTATTCCTTTGCAAACAAATCCAAAGTTATAGGTGGACAAATGAGTGAATGAACATGCAAATATTTTCATTTTGTATTTAAGGGTATGTTTGGAAATGTGTACCTTTACACAGCAAAAATTTGTTACCTGGCAATACACAAGGTTACACAGAATAAAGAAAAAATGAAGAAATKATCATGAAAAAGAAGTTTGACATTGGAGAAAAGTCTTATATGCCATCTTGAGTGCTGCTGACTTTCTCATTGGCTTATTTGAAAGATATTTTCTACCTATAAATATCTTTTACATTCACAGGTCAGTAGGGCCTAATTTAAATTCCTATGCTAAACTTCTGCATATATTTATATTATGTAYCTCCATAATTAATAAGAAGTTAAAGATCTCTGAGCCACAACAAATTAAAGTGATATTTCAAACAMGGTGTTCAAGCCTGATAATTTAATGCTTTAAAGATCCTCCCTGCATAAATGTGAAATTATTCTGAACTGGGCACACTGGATGCATAGGACAGCTTCACAAGTTAATTTTCCCAGGTTAAGAGTCTTGACAAACTGCCTCTGTTTGTATTGTGAAATGTATTTCYCAGCCCTGCTCCCCATTTCCCATGGAACCCTGCCCTTTATATTAGAGGTGAATAATTAGATCACTGGGTTTAATGTTATTATGCAGCTTGCCAAGGTTGGGTACGCTATCACTTGCTAGAAGGTGTTCTCGGTCACCCTAATGATTCTAAGGCAGGACCAAATCTTTACTTTCCCTTGGGAATCAACCTCAGGGTGGCGTCACTCAGTCAAAGCATGACTTTTCTTTCAGGGTTTAACAAGCCTCACCAAAGACTAAATKGTGCATTGTAAAACCAGACCTGCAAAGTCTCACACACCTAACAAATGAGTCCCACTCCTTTTTGCTTAAGGAAAAATTAAAACAAAGGAAAAAAAAAAGAGTCTTGCCTAAAGGGATTTCTCAGTGCTATTAGGTAAAAAAAAAATCAAGTCAAACAAATCATCTTTCTCATACTTAGAGACTCAGTGACATTATCTTTTGCATGACACCATAACTGTGCTTTGGTGGCAGTGATTAAATGCTGTTCAGCAGGCTAAGCCATATCTGAAAAGTTCTGTTCAAGAAAAAGGACTTTGTGTAGAATGGGTTATTTGGCTTTCTAGCAGTTTCAAAAAATATGAATAACAAGAGGCTGGATAAGATTTTGAGGAAGATTTTTTATTATGTAGAGAAATAACTTCAAGATAATTTAAAAATAACTTTGTCTTTAATCCAGGGATCAAAATGCTTCACATTGAAACATTTTAAACATTTAAATGGGTAAATAGTATTGATACTTGAAATATTTTAAAATATATTCTTATCTTCCCCCGACCTAAAAAAAATTAGTAAAATAGCTGTACATCATGCTTTAACACCTCCATTCTCAAAATGGACTGTTGCTGCAAATTTTGTATAGCTCTAGTCAAAATGACCTGAATTTAATACCATCTCAGAAGACAATCCAGGAATAGATATTTTTTTAAGCACATCTTGTGCTTTTACATGCTATAGGGCACATGCAAGTGCTCTAAGGAGAGAATGAAACTGGCACTAAAAAAAATCACCCTGATACCAAGAGCATCTTTGAAGCAAATGACTGCTGCAAGTTGCAATATCAGTGCTTTGTCTTTATTCCACCTGCACATTCATTTAATCCAAATATAATGTAATGAATATYCTCCTAATGTGAAATATTTAACCTCTAAGAACCCTTTGTAGATACAACCTTACCTTTTCATTTCACACACCTAAACCTTCACTTATACTCAGCCTCCCCTATCCCCACAAACCTCTATGGGACATCCACTTTAAATAATAAGATGCATAATTAGCCATTAATACGCTAGAGGTTAATGAGTAGGTATAATCTCATTAACCTAATGGGAGTTACAGGTGTAACTTGTCAGCAGCCCTAGGCTGCCAAAGAGCGCAAAGGAGTTATTGCTATCTTTAAATACAAGTTAAATAAACATGATTCATATCTATATTTTCTTCATGTACCTTGGCATTCCAGAAAGCTTTATGATTTTAGCTGAGATAGTTAGTTGCTGCAAGCAAAAGGCKAAGAGGTTTGTCCTAGGTGAAATTACTACCCAAACAAATGCTGTTGACAGACTTTTCCTATGGGGCCCAATCATTATGTTTTCCTTTAGATATTGTAACTTTTTGCTGTTTTCTAATAATTCAACTGGAAAATAAAATTTGGTAAAATATCTATACATTTGTAATTCAAGATCACAGAAAAAAATCCTCCTGTGTTGTAGTGCTCTAGAAAATTTAGGCAAATGTGACTTTCTGTGAAATGTTGTGTATGGTTGTTGGTATCAACATACACATTGTGTATATATTGTACTTTGCTGCTGTAATCTCAGGAACCACTTGTCTGTAGCCTGGTTTGGTTTGGAGCCAGCAATGCAACTATTTATCCCCACAAATATGAGTATTAATGGAAAACTTTTCATTTGTAATTGCAACGAACTAGTGAGCTTCTGAGAGAGACATCAGACACAAACACTACACAMCAAGTATACTTATTCTTCGTTTCTGAGGCATATTTTTTTAATAGATAACTTTTCATGCTTGTTTAAGGAAAAAAAATCATTACTGTTCCTTTACTAATTTGAATGCATTCAATGACGAGAATATTTCCCTGATAGCCAAAGGCACAGTATGTTTAAATGTTCATTAAGCTCCACTAATTAATTACATAAATTTTATTAATGTATWATTGAGTGAGGGGTTCGTACTATATTATATTACAAAAGAATCCTTTGCCCTATATTTCGTTCCTTAGAATGCCTCAGAGCTTTGTTTAAAATTATTAAACACCACTTCAGTGGCAATTAAAAGTTTTTATCATGAAAATGCAGTGCATTTACTACATTTTTCAAGAGCATCTTACTTTTTTTGAAGAAGCAGTGCAAAATGTAGCATGCTAGACCTTTGATGTCTCTAGTAAATGCATAGTGACTGCAGGGCAACTCCATCTAGCTATGGGTTGCTCAGGTCTCGTGGGAGAAAAGTTAAGTCCTATTCCGTCTGCTACCAGCTGGGAACCTGTTGCTTCCCTCTGTCTCCCTTCTCAGAGTGTTTCACCTGCTYCCTTGCCAATCCCAGTCTCTTCAGACGGGCTGTGAAGCAGCAGATGGGAGGTGGGGCAGTACAGCAGTGAGCAGAGCTGGAGGTTTGCTGGCTCTGAAGAATTGCTCAGAAGCTGGCAAGGGTGAGGGTGAAGCAGGTGAAAGGGCGTAGTCAAAAAAAAAAAAAAAAAAAAAAAAAAAAAAAAAAAAAAAAAAAAAGGATGGGTGGAAAAAAGGAGTGGGAAAAGGGATTAAGACAGTTAATTTACCAGAGATGGTTACTGGTTACAGAGATGGTATTCATAACTATATTCTTTTGCCTTCAAGCTTTATTGCTTAATGATAAAGATATCAACCCTTGATTTCCTTAGAGCTGTCTGAGAACCCAAACTAAAGATTGCCAGAGATKTCTCTTCAGTCAATGACTGCTAGGGCTGGCTTCTCTTTCACAAACATCCTCTGTTACGTATTTTGCTTTGTGTTCAAAAGGCACCGTGTCTAGGGACAGTAAAGTGAGATGGCATTCTTCTGTCCCTATCGCTYTTTTTTTTGCAACTGTACATATAAAGATTTTGCCTAGTGTAGGACACAATTGGTGTATCTATTTAATGACTAAAGGAGCAGAAGAGTTTAAGGCTGTATTTCCAAGTCTGTCCTCAGTATCTGAAGAGAGAGATTTCCAGTCAAATTCAGCTCTCAGGTACAATGAWGTCAATGGGTGTTTTCCAGTGAATACAGGGATACAAGACTGGAGGAGGCTTATAGASTGACAATCCTCTGCTGTCACAGACAACCACACCACAGGGTATTTTCATTAATTAATCTAGCTTAATCTAAAATGYTTGTTGAAGTTTTTGCTTTCCTATCAAAAGATTGTACCAGAACTTTCCTCCTTTACTTATTGAGAAGCCTTCATAGGAAGGTTATCAGATATTATCACATTGTATTGATCTCAGAAGGATCACAGCTTTTTTTCTAAGAGGTTAACCTCTTCAGAGGGGRTGGGCACCTGCAGCTTTGACTGATGACCTTTCCAGTAGGCTTGTTCCCAAAGCTGAGAAAATCAAAAGCAAATCCCCCCGTGTTCATTATAAGTAGTTTGAACTAAAAAGTGTTCAAGTCAAGAATGAACCCACATTAGAAATTGTATCTCACTGATGTCTCTTTTGCCTTAATACAAATTCAAACCCCTTAAGATTATTATAGTCTTGAAATTGAGAGCATCATGCATATGTAATTTTGACCAGTATGAACCTATGCTGTTGACATTATCATTCAGTGAAATGTGCTGACTTGAGGGACATGA